CACCCCACCCCAATAGCTCTGAGGCCTGTTCTGAGCGCAGGCAGCGTGGGGGTCTTTTTAAATGCACGCCTGCCTGTTTGGAAGGAGAGATTCAGCTTCAGATTTAGGCGTCAGACGGAGACCCGTCTCTGCCGGGGCTGGACATCTGGAGCAGCTCCTCCGCCCCCACCTGCAGAGAGGAGATTTGGGCTATCGCTGGAGGCCAGTAATCTGGACCCGGCAGAACTGGGAGCCAGATAAGAACTGAACACCCCAACCCGGGCGGGCGGAGGACTGTTTGCCCAGATCAAAGCAGGCAGGAAGAGCTGGCACCGGGCTGGAGCTGGTCCACAGAGGAGAAGGGGCACTGTGTCTCCTGATGGGGCTTGTAAATTGAGGGGGAACTCCCCCAGCGGTGGTGCTTGGAAGACCCCTGTTTTGCCTTCCCACTGCCCTGGCTTCTGGGGCCTCCCAGCAGAATATTATCATTCCAACCTGATACCAGTTTTCAGGCAGGTGAACTGTAACTGGCAGGTCTTCATCCCTGTGGGCAAGAGCCAGACTCAAATGTTCCCTGCATGGTGGAAATAAGCACACCCTCTCTAGCTAAGGGGGCAGAAAACTGGGTGCAGAACCCAACGGGCTACATAGCCCAGCTTGCGTTTTCCATGGTCAATAAATAGATCAGTAGAAATAGAACAGACACATTCAGATAGTTGACATCGTGGAATGGGTTGTTTTTTTCTGGGGAGGGGGGATCTTGAGTAATAATTCCTTCTGAGTGCCAACCATACCCATCAACCTTTTGTGCCCTCAAGTCGGTCTTGCCTCCTGGTAACGGCCCGGAAAAAAGCTTGCCATTTTCTTGGCAGTGTTTTTAGAAATAGTGTGCCAGGCTGAAAAATTCCAGGGAGAAAAAATGGGGTTATGGGCTTCTCCAGCTTTTTTAGTTTTGAAACGCTGTCCCCTGCTCCCACCTCCTTTCAGCTCGAACCATGGTCACTCACTCAACTTTATGAGTTCCATCCCCCCCCCGGATCCCGGATCCGCCACCAGTGGCCCTTTGCTGGGAGATCTCCCATGTGGGAGATCTCCTGCAAGGGACTCTGGTGGCCACAAAGTCAGAAGGGCTGGACTGAGCTGATCCCACAGCTACCTCTGGGGAAGCTGACTTCCAGAGCCCCCTAAATGACCCATAATTCCGAAGTACACAGTGGGAGGGAGGGAGCCCTTTGCATAGCTTAGCCAGCCCCCCCCCCCAAACTTCACAGCCCCAACTCCGGGCCAAAGTGCTTCCAACAGGGATCAGACTGACAGCAAAACACAGTGACGTATTTTTGCAGCGGGGAAGATGAGCTGGGCCCTCAAGCAGATGCCGAATCCTAGTTCTGCCAAGAGAGAAACAGAACAGCCCTGCTCAGGCAGAAAGAACATTTTGCACAAAACCTGGCTGTCACTCCAAGTGATTCTACTTGGACCCTCCTTTCTCTCCAAATACAATAGTTTTGGAAGGACGGAAGAAATGCCTGGAAGACCGAAGAGGCAATTTTATCTTTCCTGCGCAGAATGCTACAACGTCCTCCCTACACTTTATTAGGAGTTTAAACTAGATTCCTGAGCATGAACCTGTTTCCCCTTTGTGCTATTTTGGCCTTTGCTCTCCATTCACCAACTTGCGGTTTTATAAAAGACCGAAGGGCATGGTTTTCCTCCGAGAGGAACAGAACCACCGAGGACCCCAGCAGGAGCCACCCTTCTCTGGGAAATTAAAAAAAAAACCCTAAAAAGTAACTGTCAGTGGAATTGCTTGGAAGCAGTCAGGT